AGGTGATTAAGGCCCAGAAGTTAACTCATGGGAGGCTGCTTACTTGGGAGCATTGCAGCTAATCCAGTCGGGTTCTAAGTGCATGCTTCTGAGAACATCTTTAAAGTTCCTCAGTGACCATGGCAAATTCAGCATAGTCTGTATGAGCTGAGACTAGCAGCACATGGGGACATGGCAGGAGTTAACCTAATTGTAAAGTCTGAAAACATATAGTCTTGCAGTAACCTTGCACCAGCGTTTTGGAAAAGTACAAATGATTGGGGTTTATTGGAGACTACTTTGTTGCTTAGCAGTTCTTTTGATTTTCTTTTTGTAGCAGCCATCTTACTCGACTCTCTTATTCCTTTCCTAGTTGCCTCTATGTATGCTCACTTAAGGTTAAGCTACTTTCAAGGTTTCCTTTAAGTTCTGGTTTGTGACAGTTTACCCTCCCTCCCTCTTTTACCTGCCTGGAACCTGAAGGATAGTTTCACTCTTCTCTCCCTCCCAGAGCCCCAGCTTTTCTGCTTAGTTCAGTTTGTACTTATTCTCAGTTTGTACCAAATTTAAATGGCGGCCTCATTTTCTACTGCCAAAGTAAAGCTCAATTTTCTAGCATTCTCTATAGCAGAATGTATAACTGCTGCTGACCCTGCAGTTGTATGCATTTTTACTTGGAAATAAATTGCACTGTCTTCAATGGGACTTACTCCATCAGCTAGAATTGCAAACATCCACTGATTTTGACTTTACACAGATGTGGTGTTGTTGTTTTGTTGTTGTTTTTTTGCACTTGAGTGGCTGTATTTCTCTCTTGTGTCAAGCACACGACAGACTGGAAATATGGTCCACCTGTGTCCTTCTGTCTGCTTCCCCTTAGACTTCCAGCTTGTAGGGTTAGTCTTTGAGATAGTGTTGGAATCATAGGGGCTGGCTTCTCGGTTCTTTCAGGAAGCTTTGGGTCTTTTATTTATGCCATTTCTATCCCTCCTGTGTTTTATGGAATTCAAGAAGACACACTTGGAGTTCTCAGGCAGGATTTGACCAGTTCTTTTGCAGGGTTGCTGAATTACATGCTTCAACCCATTCGAAATCTCTTGTGAGCTGAAGGAAAGAAGACTAAAGGAGTGCAGAAAATGTATTAATCCAAAATAATTCAGGATCTCTTGTGCCAGTCTTCTGAATCTTTGACCTTTGCGAATCTATTAGTTGTCTTGTCTTCCCAGCCATTCCCCTAAAGAAGCAGTGAGTTGGGATTTTGACCCAGTTCAGACGTTTATACAGGTGGTGACGGTATTCACATGTTGGAGAAGCTAGAATGTCCTCTCTTCTTTGCCATGCATATACAGTAAACGTATGCCACAGGCACTCCATATGAATGTCATGAATGTCTGGTTTGCATGAATCTTCCCTGTTGTTTTTGGGAGGGGGCAGAGATCTCATGTATTAAGATGTCTCTGCAGAGCACTTATGTCATGATGTATGCCATCAGGCGCAGGAGGGCATACTCACTCTTGCATCTTGTAGGGACTTTCAGCACCCCTGTATCAGAAAAGGTGTTGCAGTTTTCTGTGTACCTTTTTAAAATAGTATTTGTATCAGCTTTTGGTGGCATCACTGTTTTGTGGCTTCCCACATGCTGAATGGGTAATCATATCCTTTTCAATCTTTCTGCTGCCTTAGATTACTCCACTTAGGGTTGCCTGGAAAGGGTTGCCATCTCTGTCCCGCAAGCACACACGCAGCAACTTAAAATAATGCCTTTATGGTTTTGAAAATAAACTTATGAAAGGCTAATTATGGAACAATCCCATACATTTGAGATAAAAATCACAAGCTGTTGTTAGAGTGCCTCTACAGGAATTGCAGACACGAAACTGATTTCCTCCCATCTTGTTATGCAGAAGTGGAGGGGAAGTGCCTTGGTCTTATCGCAGTCCCATTATGTCAGGTGCATCGGGGCAAGGGCTTGGTCAGGCAAACTCAGCAGCAGCAGCTGCTGTCTTGTTCAGCCTTTGGAAATGTTAGCAGCATTCTTTATGCAGCTAAACTTTTGCTTAGCTTGAAAACCCAAAGAAGTATCTTGTGGCATAACAGTTGGCCTTAGGTGAGTCGTGGCTCCTTCTGGCTTTTCCCAAGTGCTTTTCTTTCATGCTTTTCCCAGCTGAAAAATGGTGCTAGCCTCTGGATTTAACATATACGGAGTGGGTCTTACAGCACTTTAGAGTTTTAACAGTGGTGTCTAATGAAGTGGGTTCTAGCACACAAAAACTTAAGCCACAACAAATCTTATAAGGCGCTGCAAGATTCTTCTGCGCGTATGTCAAAAAAAGGAATAGAAAGTAAAATTACTAGCATGATACACCATCTGGTTAGCTTCCTTGTTTCCTTCAGGCTGTGGTGCTTACCTAAAGTTGAGTGCAGTCAACATGTTAATATGTGACCCGCCATACTTTGCATTACGTGGCTGCATCTTTTCTAATATATCTGCTTGCATATTTTTATACCCCAGACTGAACCAACTAGTGTTTACACAGGTGGAGTCACTTGAGAATAATTTAGAGGTTCACTAGTTCATTAGCTCTGGCACATATTGCCTATAGCTTTATTTAGGCTCTTGGCACAAACGACGCCAAATCACTGGTTTCTCAGATAAATTATAGCTACCAGATTTCATCCTTTGGGAATCTCTTAACATTTTCGAGAGTCAACAATTTGGACAATGACACAATTATACTCTGAGAATACCATCCTGTTTTTGGCTTCCCCTTTTCTCCTTCTGTGTGTGCTACCAGATCTCATAAATTATATACCATTTTGTTTCTTGTAACAAACCTCACATAAAACTTAGCGACAGTGAATTAAGCAGGGTAGAACAAGATTAAATATAGCGACATTGCTCAAGTCCCAGCGCTGAGGGTGTTTAAGCATTCCACAAACAGATTTCTTTACTTCTAGTTATAAGCATGTAGAAAACTGACAGCCAGGTATGGCTAGTTGCTGGGGTGGGAGTGGGGATTTGTGTAGCCCGGTAGGTGAGCTTCTCATGAGTGTTCATCTCAGCAGGGCAGGGGCTGCATTGGGACAGAGGGTGGAATGCCAAAAGAGTCAGGTAAAAGGGAATAAACACGGGTCTGTACAAGTGTTTTTCTTTGCTAAGTGCTATCTCCTTGAAAGCTGGGGCGAGGAGCCTTTGGCCCTCCAAATGTTGAAGGGTGTTGGGAGTCCCAATAAGAACTGGAGGACCACAGGTTTCCCGTTCCTGCTTTAAGGCATGTTGTGTGTCTTTGTGAGTGTATACTCAACTCAGGACACATGGACAGCAGCTATCAGTGCCTGTAAATGGTGGTGGAAGATCTAAACTGCAAGGACAGGAGGCAAACCCCAGACACCCTGCTATCTAATGATGATTTTTTTCATGCTTTGCTGAGTGTCCCCCAAGTAGATCCATTTCTCATTAACAGGATGCATTTCTCTTACACCCTACATGATTACGAAAGTCATTTGATCTCAAATGCATTTACATGGAAGGATGTTCCACTGGAATCAGTGGAATGCAAAAACCAAGCAGAGGCATTCTGATGCTGTTGTTTACACTTCTACCTTTTGTTGCAGCCAGAGGTGCTACTATCAGATGTTTGTAAGTGGACAGTGTTGCTCCGTTATGTATGTGGCATAGATACTGTGTTGGTTGGAGATGGACAGCACCCTCCAATTTCTGCTTTGTAGCATGAGCAGACTTAGGGGTGTTGCCCCCAAGGCAGAGGGAGGAGAGGGAGGTACAGCCCTTCAACTTTGTTCCCTCCTTGAAGTCAGTTGCAGCACAATGCCAATCCCTATTTAGATAATAGATTCTCACTTTTTAATGTTAAAACAAGCAGTGTTTTATTATTAATACTCCTATTAGTAGCAGTATTTATAGAATACTCCCCCCCCCCGAGTGGTCAGAACACTTTGCATATGCTGTCCTGGTAATCCTTGCGACAACTCTGTGTGAGAGGCCAGTGTAATATTGAGAGAGAGAGTGAGTGAGTGGCGGGTCGTCTGAGGCCACCTGCCTCCACTGAATTCATGGCTGGGCTGGAATGTGATCTTGGGGTTTATAGCTCAGGCTGTTCAAGAGCTTATGTACTGTAGTCACTGGTTCACACAATGTGTGTACAGTATATTGAACTAGGTGCTAACACGGGGTGCTTAAATTTAAAAGTGTACGGACAGAACTGCTAAGGGGGAAAGGACACAGAGAAGGAGAAAGCAAGCATGTATCCATGCTGACAGGTGAGAAAAAGCAGTAAGTTCTGCTCATGTATTTGCATTTTCATTTAAAGAATTGCTTGCATCCCACTTCAGATAGTTTCCCAGAGCAGCAAACAGTAAAAAAACAACACCCCCATCTCAATTAAGGCAGACTATCAGAATAAAAGTAAATACAGGAAAACACAGTGTGTGTCAAAACATAAAACGAGTAAAAGCCAAATTCATGTCAAGACAGCATAAATCTTAATAAATGCATAGCAATTAATACAAGAACAGGATTCCTCATCTTGGCCTTATTATCCCCATCTAATCAGCAGAGGCTAATTTTCACATAAATAACATTGTTAGGTCAATAAATATTAAACTTTTATGTCATGTAGGCTACTTGTGATCACATGCACATATGCTGTTATCTCCCTTTCAAACAACATGATAGTTCTTTTGATTACAATGCGCAAGTTGAAGTGTGGCCAAGTAGGTGATGCTAAACACCCCAAACTCAAATAAAAGCTAACTGGTTGTTTTATTATCTCACTGTGTACAGAACATCAATCTTATCCACTTGAGCACCTGTCAGAACGACTTGCAGTGCCAACATATAACAGTGCCATCATGTCATGCTTGGCCCTGGCATAGCTTTTGCAGTTTCCTATCCTAACTGTGCTAGCATAGCAATTCCTGTGCTTGGCATATAAATTCGGTAATTATTACTGCCAGACAGGAAAGCTTCATGAATTAAAATAACCTCTCATTTCCTCTTGCAGGGTTTCTTGGATTACCAAGCAGTAAACCACCAGATCATAATTTTGCGCCTGTTGCATTACATCGTCCGCCTCATATGGAGAATGCAGTGACTAATGCGATAAGAAGCAGCTTGGGATTGTTTACTCGTTTCCAGCGACAGCAACCTTGAACGCAATGTCTTTGGTCTCTGGGTGCAGGTAACAGGCCTTTCTTGACCTCGGATACATCCAGCAAATGAAAAGGAGCAGAAGGACTCCATATCAGGCGGTTTGGACCTCTTTGTGGTTTCTTTTGAGGAAAGCAAGTTTTTTAAATGGATATTTGGAAATGGACCACCTTTTTAAGAAACAGGATTTCATCTGAAAGTAGAGCTAACTTTGTTTTGTTGAAAGTTCTTTTTAAAAAAAGAAAGAAAAGAACCTTGCTTATATTGCAGCTTTCAAGAAAATCATTGAATCCTGTTCTCATTTGAAAACTTGTGGGTTGCTATTATACCTTGCAACAGAATTGTTTGAGCCAGCTCCTTTGTAAAGCTGTCTTAGTTTTTATATTACATACTTCCTGTTCAAAATCTTTCCAAGCAGTGAGAAGACAGACTGGTAATTTCTGTGCTACCTAAAATTCACCTATCCTTGTACATTATTCACAGAAGAAGTTTGGGGTGGGGGGTGGGGAGTACATCCATCTGCTGTTTAAGCACCATTTTTAATCTTCTGTTGGGTGAAGCAGTTGCATCTTGCAGCCCAGAAGGAGAACTCTTGAATTTGCTTTGGAAGTTGAAATTAAACTGTGAAAGTTTTAATGTTCCAAATAATGTCACCAGGTTGCCTTTTACAATTTTCTTCCTTTATAATTTGTATAGATAAGTGTGTATTCTATGACATATACTGAAGGTGGGCGGGAGGGGGGGAATGTAGCAATAAGTCATTGTATGTGGGTGAAAGCAGTTCCTATGCCTGTGCAATATTGCCCAAAGTTGTTAGCAACAGGGTCCTACTGCATAATTTCAGGCACTGTTTTGATCCTCACTTTGGTATATTTCTCTTTGTTTTTTTAAATCCAGTCTTTGCGTTTTGTTTATTTTTTTAAGCACTCTGGATTTTGTTAATTGCTGCCTTTGTTTTTAAATAATATGAGAGATGACCGAGCAACCATAATGTGGAATGTAAAAGGACTACTGACTCGCTGCCTGGGTTTGAGGTCAACAGCAGCACAGTATTCAGAGGGTGAAAACTCCCAACAAAAGATAGAGCAGGAACAAATTTTATTCCAGAAAAAAAAGACCTTTTAACAAGTGGCACCTATTCCACCTCCCTTTCCTAAGGTGCCTATAGGTGATTGGCTGCATTTATCTAATATGAGTTTGCTACTTTGCTACTTCCTTAATCAGGGCTACTTGTAATGTGATAAAAACAGAAAGCTGAATCAAGGGAAACCTGCTGCAAACAGCTGAATTGTGCAACATATTAAATTGTGCAGGTTGTTTCTGTAAGCCATAAAAGGGAGAGGTAAGGATTGATAATTCCCAAACTGTGTAGGGTGGGGGCACAGTGGTATGCCATAGCAAAGGACTGAAATGCGTCCGGAAAACTTAAGTCACTATGCTGGACTGGGGAGAGTCCTGCGCATCTTTAATTCCCTCCTCTGTCCCTTTTACCCAATTTATCTGTCAGTTTGGGGGAAGGACTTGCTAGATTCCTTGACTCGGGTATGCTATGGGCTGCCAGGTACAGGAGAATCCCAGAAAGTATAGGAAGCTGCTTTATACCACTGAGCCAACTAGCTCAGTATTGTCATTCTGACTGACAAGTGTGTAAGGAGTCCTTCTCATCCTTACCTGTAGATACTGGGGGTTGAACCTGGGATCTCCTGCACACAGTCTTTCCCTAGCTGACTCCTGACAGGCAGAAGAAGGGGAAATGTACAGTGGCAGTAAGACCCTCTTAACTGCGTCATTCTGTAGCTGCCGATTATTGTGGGAGCAGACTGAGAAAACAGGTGTATGGTAAAGCCCCCAATCTTAATCCTAGAAAACACTGTGTCCCATGTAATAAAGGTTTGGGAAATGCTGGGCAGAGCCCTGAAGACTCCCCGTGGTCCCTTGCATTCAGATATTACATCAGATTTTGGAAGGAGTCTTTCAGACTTAGATTTGCAGTTGAAAAGATTAATAAATTGCTTTTAAAAAGAGCTGAAATTCTCAGGATACTGAATTCTGTACCCTATACCAAATTGGTAAAGAACCACAGTATGCACACAATCCCAAACTTAAATAAAAATGTGCCATTAAAAAAAAAATCAAGTAAAATTCCACTATACCAGATGGCAGACAGTATTGGCACAGATCCCGACTTCCTTTTTTAAAAAAAGAAACATTTTGCTTCTGTAATATCCTTCATCATGCTTCCTGATGCTATCCCTATATCTCAGAAGTAAGTTCCACGTGAGTTCAATGAGGCTTATTCCTACGTGCGTAGATTAAAGGATTGCAACCTGAATTGCTTCAGTTTTGGGACATTGTTCATTTCATTTTCCTCCTATAAAATCAAAGCGGTTTAACATGTGCTGTACCATGTTATGGTAAACTGGTTCATATGTGGATTTAGACTGAGTTTTTACTTTGCTTTGGGAGGCAACTGCAAAATGAGCTTCCTGGAACTGCATAGTTGCTTAAAGGTTCTGGTTGCAAGTGCCCCTTATTCCACATAATTTTATTTGGCCATTGATCAATTACATAAAATGGTGCAGATACTTTGCATAATACAATCGGTCAACTGATTCTTGTTTGTAACTCGCTTCCAAATGCTACGTCGCCAATTTCTGGTTTCACCAGTGCCACTGAAAATGTTGTAACCTCTTTTTAAAAAAAACTTGCAGTCTTTTTTGGGCTATATCAAATCCATCCTAAGTGCTATTATGTGCTGGAGAGTTTTGTCAACTTCAGCTCCTATGCCAGTGCCTGCAGATGCATCCCCTGTCCTGAATGTTTCTGCAGTAGATTATAGGATAAATCCAGATGATCAAAATAAGCTTTGGGGTCCCAAGCTAGAGAGAGGCGCAAGCAACAATAAGCTCACACACATCACCTGGTGCATGTCAGTACAATAGATGGTTAGTAAGATTGATGTTGACAGTGCCAAACACCTCTTTGAAAACAAGAGACGGGGAAAGGGTGTGCTAAGATTCTGTCCAAACTGACAGCCATGATCTGACTCTTGCCAGTTCACTGTTGGAAACACCCCTAAGTCTTGCATCCAGGGACAGAGTCCAAACCACTTCATCCTCTTGTGCTTTTGCTATTCCAGATCCAGCCAGGGAATCATGTGCAGAAGAAGTCTTGTCTCCTTATCTGTATAGCCCTTATTCGGTCAGGCTGTTCATTTGTAAGCTCCAACGGCGATAATGTGCTAACAAGGGCAAAGCCATGGTAGCTTTGTAGCAGCGTTAGTTTCTTAATTTTACTAGCTTTGGTGAACAATGTTATGGGCTTTCTCCCCAATTTGTTTAACATCAAGCAGAAATTGCAACACCACTAATAGTAATTTTGCCTGTATAATTAATTGCATGGTACCCACATAAAGCTGGTTGACTGAAAAAGGCAAAGAAGCGGGTGTTAGTCTTAGACCATTCAAACTGATACTGTGTGATAGAGATTTTTTGTGGCATCCAAAAAACCAGGGAAACCAAGGAGTTCATTTCCAGGTTTAGCAATGTTGATAACACAGCTTTTAAACCGGCAGTTTGCCAGTAATCTTTCAGCATACGATGGGAAACCTGTGTTTTTCACTGGGAATAATTAGAAAGCTCTCTCTTGAGATCCAACTGACTCATATTAGTTGTCATCACTGACCCATCGCGATTCCTTCTAAAATCGTTTCTGCCACCAGAATTAGTTCTCAAGAACTCGCCAAAGTGTTTTCTGTTTAGTGCTTCTGCATTTGGAGCATTCTAGTTTTAATGCCTTTCTAACACAAAATCCTCCCTGCAGTCATGCTTTCAGTGGTTGGGATCCAGGGAGCTCCAGGCAAGCGCCGGAAGTGGGGGGATTCCCCTGTTCTTCATTGACATGGTTACAGAGAGTATTCTTTAGGAAACCGTAACCTATTAAGAGTGGCTTTTTTTGTGGAGGGAGGGAGCTAAGGGAATAAGGAGCTGCTTTGGGAAGGGGGGTCCTGAAAGTCGCAGTGCACTCTCTTCAGACCCCTATAACCTTCCCTCCCCCTTTTCTTATAAGGCTCGGCTGGCCCAGTGCCTTGAGATGTGTACACATTCATATGTGTTAACTGCTAGCATGGGAGTGCAATTAGCTTGCTGCCATGGCTTCAGGCAAACTTAATTGTAAGCCGAAGAAATGTGGTTTTTTTTTAATTAAAAAAAAATTCTGTGAATTATAACATAAATCAGTAAATGGCAAGATATTGGCACTGTGTGGCCCAAACCCAAGCTCTCTTTGTTTTTCCAAGAAATCTCTGCCGGACATTATATCTTAAAATGCTAAATCAAGCAAGGCCCGTTTTAGTTTGTCACAGTTCAGTGCAGGTTTTGTGCCTTGACATCCCCACAGTGTCCACATTAGACTTGTGGGTTTAAAAAAAAACTTTTTCTAGAAATCCCATTTATATATCTATAACTATATATAATCCTGCCAAAACATTTTATGAAGAATTTTCTTTGGTTGTGGAGAAACCATATTCAAATTTCTTCTTAGTGTCTCCATGCTTTCCCCCCCTTTTGAATGATTGTAAATATTTGAGTATTTATTAGATTAGTGCAGTCCTCATCTGAGCCAAATGTCGCCTCTGTGCAATGTTCCCTCTCTTCTTACTATGTCATGTAAGATTTTTTGTACAGCAGCTGAAGTAAAACGGATTGATTTCTCTAAACTTTTTTTTGTAGAATTGACTTTGTTAAATACTGTAGATTCCCCTTTTCTTTGTAATTAATGCACTCTACTGTTCCATAATGCTGTAACTTGTAGAAATGTTGTATATTTATTTTCTGCTTATTTAAGTTCTTGTAAAGTCTTCCCCCCCTTTGAATTGTACTTAGTGTAAATGGAAATAGTGATTGATCAGTTTAGAGCACTGTCTACTAGTTTATTGCTATTTTAGATGTTGTTTAAACCCCTTGATTTTCTATACCGTGTCTCTTGCCCATCTTTCTCTGTCTTGTTAAAATAATTGAAATATGAAGTGAAGGCAGGGATCAGTTTGATTGGGAAGGGCTTTTACATGTTCAAGGGCCACATCCAGCACTGCATTTGTGGCTTTTAAAAGGAGTTAGTTCCAAATAACTTTCTGAGGACCGAAGGCAGATTACATATTGGTTTTGATAAAGCAACATGCAGTGCTCTGAACTGGTCAGTCTTTTAAAAATGTCCAGGGAGCTTCCTCGGGACACCTACTCACAGCATCCCCTCTCAAAAGTAGATTTTTGTTGCAAATTCATTAGGTGCCAGTTCACAATCTTGGTGCTTCCTGTTTCTTCCTACAATTGTGCTTACATTTAAGGGCCGTTAAGAACTTGTCCCTTAGCCTCAGTTTACGTAGCACAGGATATGACTTGTTACCTCATAAATAAGAAGTACCTGCAGTTTATTCAAGAACTACTAAATTTTTAGTGGAAGAGAGACATTTTGCACCCTGGTTTATAGACCACTAGTTACTGTATGACAGCACCATAACATCAGGTACAAACATCAATGTAGCACTGATCTTGTACTGATTAATCACTAACATGTTTCTTAGAACCCAGCATTTTTATGTAGCATTTTTATTGCAGTTTCCCTGGCTTACTTGTGTTTTGCACTGATGAAATTTTGACAGGGTAATTGCCACTTTACTTGTGCAATACTGCTGTAAATAACCGCAGATCTTTTTTTAAGATACAATCTTTTATGTTCTTAATGAATTTTATATGAATAAAACTTTCAACTATTCATTGCGTACGTTTTTTATTTCAGTTTCTTTCCTAAGTTTGCTTGTTCTTGCACAGTTATAAATGAAACAAAGGCAATGAATTGGGCTTGGACACAATCTTATTTGTGCAGATCTCCCTTACATACACTTCCCTTAATGTGCATAATCAGAAGAATCCTTGTAATGGATCAAGTAATGGAGTTGTCTAATGCAACTAGCACTTAATTACAGAAACGAGGTACAGAATTAAGCAAAAGGAAAACCATTCAAAGGGCTGCTGAGAGACTGTTGGATATGGTAAAAATGCTGATCTGTTCCCACAGGGAGGGAGACCAGCTGACAGTGTGGTACTTCTTGCTACACTTGTGGAAAGCTTCAGGGGGTCTAGATGTGCTAATGGTGGTCTTCCAGCAGAGGTGGTAGTGGGTTGGACGAGTGTCACAAGGTAGCCTTAGATCTGCAGAATTCAGTGCCCTTCATTCTGCCATTCCCACAGTTCAGGTCTAAAAGGACATGAGCCCCTTGAGCCGCCATGGCTAAAAAGAAGAAAAAGCTGCCTCTGTGCAGCCTGCCCAGCTGCAGCAAACAAGCAAGGTTTTGGATGTTGCAGTAAAACTACCTTGGAATATCTGCCCTGCCAATAGGATTGCTCTGTAAAATGGGATATGGTCAAGGATTATAAGATGAATAGGGTGGAGAGATTTTTCTTCCTTTTATAACATGGTAGAGAAACTGCAGCTCTTATGCCAACTTGATTCCCCAGACCTCCCTATTTGGCCAATCCAACCACTCCCCCCCCAAATGCATCCACCTCCTGTCAGGTGTGGCAGTATTCCTCCCCCCCCAATTGATCCCTGTGGGTCAACTTAGATGAGTGAGATGACCTGCCTGTCACTCACCTGGTGGCATTATACTGTCAGCTGATTGACAGATGATTGGTCCTGTCTACCTGTCAAAGCTGGCTGAGCAAATGGGGGGTATTAAATATCTAGCCCACCAGGCCCCAGAGGTTCCCTACCCTGCTTTATAATATGATGCTGCCTTGCTTGATTAGCAGTGGGCTCAGGACAAAACTTAAGGAAATCTTATTCCATGCAGTGCATAATTAAGAAGTAACTCGCTAACACAAGATATGACAGTTACTAGCTTGGATGGCATTAGGAAGAAGCATTAAGACAAATTCTTGGAGGATACAGCCCTGCACATGCTTCCTTGCAAGTAAGCACCAATGATTCATATTCCAAAAGTAGACCACATTTCTATAAATGGATTAGTAGCAACTTATTACCTCCTCTGCATAAGATCCGAAGGCCTAGTGGGTGCAGAATAATCCCGCTCAGAGAGTCCAAAGATGAGGAAATTAGCTGCCAGGTGGAAGTTTTTCAGAATGCTGCTGCGGCCTGTAAGAGACATGGAATAGGTTTGCTACGCAATGACCACAGCCAGGTCTACAGAGTCCAAAATCCTCTCTTTTTCCTCCCTGCTGTGCCTAAACTGAGCAAACTGATGGTGTTGTCAAGGCTGGGTACATGGAACTGAACTGTTGCACGTGACTTAAAATGAATGCTTCTGACTTGCATAGACAATTAGTGATGCCAAGCAAGCGAGCTCCTTGACTGGCTTCAACTCCTGACTGTTTAGATGTTTGAGGGCTTAATTAGCAAAGCACAAATGAGTAGAGCAGCCTCTGGATAATGAGAGGCCCTCAAGCAACATCAGTTTCATCTGGAAATTAGCGCTGATGTAAACACAAGGTTTTCTATCGCTCGCCGTACCCAGAGGTGAGTGGAATTGTCCCTATAAGTTACATAGAGAGAGACAACCTGAAACAACGACCCAAGAGTTGTTGGCTGTGGTCACCAGACATGACTCAACCACCTTAAAAAGGTAACGGGACCCCTGACCATCAGGTCCAGTTGTGGCTGACTCTGGGATTGCGGTGCTCATCTTGCTTTATTGGCCAAGGGAGCAGGCATACAGCTTCCGGGTCATGTGGCCAGCATGACTAAGCCGCTTCTGGCGAACCAGAGCAGCGCACGGAAACAGCGTTTACCTTCCCGCCAGAGTGGTACCTATTTATCTACTTGCACTTTGACGCGCTTTTGAACTGCTAGGTTGGCAGGAGCTGGGACCGAGCAACGGGAGCTCACCCTGTTGCGGGGATTCGAACCGCCAACCTTCTGATCAACAAGTCCTAGGCTCTGTGGTTTAACCCACAGCGCCACCTGTGTCCAACCACCAACTTTTCAGCTTGGGCTCAAATTTTGCTTCTGGTGGTAACGAATACCAACCCCTGAAAGAGGTTCACCAAGTGGTTTCTTTCTGCCTTATTAATATGGCCCAGCTTGCCCTTCACCCAATGCTGGCTACACCATACAAAGCTAACACAGAGTTCTTGTCCTGTGACTTGTAATGTGGTGGGACACACATTAACTTGATCCTTCTCCTGCCTGTTGAATTCCCCCCCACAGCCTCTCCCTGCTGGCCTGTTTGCTCCTGATGTTCCTCTTGGGCAGCTCTGAGGGCTTATCCACACTTAACCTTTTGCGCCATGATTTCTAGGCACAGGTCCACACTTTCCCAGTCCGTGTCCAAGTGCATTCTTTTGCCTTGCCACTTTCTCCAGGAAAATCCAAACTTCATCACTGAATCACAGCAAACCTCAAGTCGGGTTGTCTGCTGCAATTCAGCAGTAAACTGGGTTTTCACAGGAAAAGTGGAGGGGTTTATAAAACAAAAAAAGCCCTCAGACACAGATCTGGAAAGCCCGGAGCTGTACCTAGAGATATGGAGCAGAGGTGGATGAACCCTGAGTTTGGGAATAAACTGGTGGAGTGGGAGGCATTACTCTGAATGTCCTGGCTGCACTGTCAGAGGTAATACGCCTCTGAATACCAAGTGCTGGGATCTGCAAGTGGAAGGTTTGTTGCTGCACTTCGGTCAGTGGAGAATCGGTGGGAGGTTGGACATCTGAGCACAACTCCAGCCCTGCACAAACCCCCTCATTGCCATCCATTGTGAAGCAAGCAAAACGTAGCCCTGCTCATAAAAGTGTGAAGACCTGCCCCAGCCTTCTGTATCCGTACAAGGTCCCCCAGGGTATGCTCTTACTCAAACTTAGCATAGCGAGTGAGTCGTGTGTGTGGTTTTTAGTCTAGGAAGCACCATTCCATTCCTAGACAGAGTGTGAGCCGCTTCCAGAAGACCCTGCTTAGTCACAAAGGACTCAGCGACCTGTTTGCGGTTCACATGCTCAGTCCCATCACAGCCACACCCTGTTGGGCAGACAGACTCTCTTGCTCTGGATACAAGCTCATTATTTCCCAGCACTAAACATGCACATGCAGACAATCTGCATGGGGCAGGGGCATCCACCATATTTTTCGTTCTATAAGACACACCAGACCACAAGACGCACCTAGTTTTTGGCGGAGGAAAACAAGGGGGGGGGGATTCTGAATCCCAGAAGCCAGAACAGCAAGAGAGATCGCTGCGCAGTGATCCCTCTCGCTGTTCTGGCTTCTGGGATAGCCGCGTGAAGCCTCTTCAGGGCAGTGGATGAAGGCTCCCCATGCCCTGAAGAGGCTTTGTGCGGCTAAGCGAGAAGCTAGAACAGCAAGAGGGATCGCTGCGCAGCGATCCCTCTTGCTGTTCTGGCTTCTGGGATAGCTGTGCAGCCTGCATTCACTCCATTAGACGCACACACATCTCCCCTTACTTTTTAGGAGGGAAAAGGTGTGTCTTATAGAGCGAAAAATACTGTATGTGTGGCTTCTGCTCTCTTTATTCCTGTGTTTCTGCACTGCAGTTTTAGACTACCTTTCCAAGAATAGATCAGAGGGCGGTTCACAAAACATACTCTGCAGCAGAAGCAGAAATCACCCAAGTGATTATGAGTGATATTCACTATATATATATATATATATATATATATATATATATATAATCTGTAAACGTTATGCAAATAGTTACGTTATTTACCGCTTTGTTTTTGTCACTTCCCTTCTATTTAAATGCACTGAAAATAATTAACCCAAATTATTACATAATCCATTATGTAGGTTTTGGTTGTGGTAGATAACAAGTTGAATAACGTGGGCTTTAGCAGGAGCCAAACTGTAGCAGAACAGAAACAACGCTGATTGCAACAAACCCAGTAGCGGAATAGAAACAACTACGAAACCAGGACAAGACAGAGATTGCTGCCTCCTTCCTTCTCCAGCCAGGGCTGGTGGGTACAGCGGAATTCATTCTCTCAAGTACTTGGGTCCCGGTCCTTCAGGACTTTATTACATGGAAGCGCTTTCTTGACAGGGGCGGGGGGGGGGGAGACTTAGCATGTCAAGCTGTCCTGAGCCAGATCTTTATCGTCATTTATCTACTTAATCAGGAGCAAAGCGACTCCTTTCGCCTGCAGATAGGAAATTAAACAGGCACCGCCGCCTTGATCTGAAACTAACAGGGTGACCTCAACAGAGGCCCATCAAGCATTTTTTTTAACAAGTTCTTTTCAGCTATTCTTCACCAGTTTTGGTTTGTTCCTATCTAGTCCAAGGGTAATGAGAGCTAAAAAAAAAATAGATGAATCTACCGCAGATCTAAGCCACCAGCCTGCAAAATACTCTCTTGCTTTTATTACGAAGCATAACACATGTGGAATTCCAGCTTCTCATACGATGGCCAGTGATAAACATCAAAATATCAGAGCCTATGCGAGTGTGTGTGTTTTTAAATGTGACTCTTCAGTCTTTTTTCCAGTTTACAATTGTTTTTCTCGATTCTTGAGTTTCTCGGTCTCTAAGTGACGGGTCTAAGTTAGGCGTAGTCAAAAAAGTTTGTTTGGTTTTTTGGGGGGGGGGTTACACTGAATTTGTACCCCCAAAAGCGCTCCCCAATCCACAAGCCAGAGGGAAACCCACCTCATTGTCACGCTGCTCATCAGTTTGCGAAAGGAGAATTCCTGCCTGCAGACAGGCAGGAAAAAAAGGCTCACCCTTCCAAACAGCTGCATTTTGGTGGGGAAAACAGAGGGAGATAGGGTTTCAGTCGGCCTGCCTGCACTTTGCTGAATCAGCAGGCTGTCTGGGCTCTGGCAGTGTTCCCTCATCAAGGAGCCTGCAGCAGCCTCCCTTGCTCCATTATCACCAGCCAGGCAGCCACGATTCCAGGACCTTGTGTGAAAGGAAGCATGGCCTTGGGAGAGGGAGGGAGGCAGAGGAGGAGGACCCACTGGTTTGTTTACTAGCAGAGGGGCTCTGTGAGGCATGAATGCCCCCTGACCTGTGACAGAGCAGGGGAAAAAGACATCACATTATAGGTGTTTTAAGTGCAAAAGAGCGGTGCGTTTTTTTAAAATCAAAAGCCCTGATTTGCTTGCACAAAGCTTAAACAGAGGCTTGATTATAGCCGGTCTCTATTGATCATTCATTCTGATATGTTTCTGCAGAGGCTGTATATCATCAAGCATTCATCCCGATTTGCTTCTGGGGTGTTTCCAGGTCTTCCCCCTTAATCAGTTGTTCATTCTACACTTTTCAACGCGGTTTTCCTGTCACTTTCCAAATTGCAGTTTCTTTTTCAAAGTCGATTAGTCATGCTAGGGCAACAGACACAGCACTTTAATGGCACAAGCCAAACATTTCCTAGGATGTTCTTGAATGCCTCCTGCAAAAAATTGATGGTCTGGAGGCACCTCATGGCAGTCTCTTGACAGGACCAACATGTATGTCTAACCACAGGGTGGGGTGATATTCCTGGCTCCCATTTCATTCTCCAGAATGGGGCCCAAACCTGGTTTCAGGTTTTGTTTGTTTGTTTTAAAAAAATTAAACATCAAATCTAAATCAACAAGGCATATTGGCCTCAGCAGACTGCTACTCATAACATCACAAGTGGACAAAGTTTTGGTCTTGCAAACTGTCTCCATCCCAAAGTGACTTTGTGAGAGAAGCAAGGTTAGTCCCAATCTGCTCTGGGAGACGTTCAGGAAACTCAGAGGCCTTTAAAACCCTCTGTGGTGCACAGATGCTGCCATAACCAGGAACACACACCTCAGACTAGATGAGATTGTCTTCCTATGACCACTGTTATTTTTGAACTGTTTATTGGAAGTGAATGAGGTACAGGCTGTAGAGAGGTCTCTGGACCCCAATCTCATGATGAGGAGCAGGCTTCGGCCTTTTAGCCGGACGCGGGTGGCGCTGTGGGTAAAAGCCTCAGCGCCTAGGGCTTGCCGATCGAAAGGTCGGCGGTTCGAATCCCCGCGGCGGGGTGCGCTCCCGTTCCTCGGTCCCAGCGCCTGCCAACCTAGCAGTTCGAAAGCACCCCCGGGTGCAAGTAGAAAAATAGGGACCGCTTACTAGCGGGAAGGTAAACGGCGTTTCCGTGTGCGGCTCTGGCTCGCCAGAGCAGCGATGTCACGCTGGCCATGTGACCCGGAAGTGTCTCCGGACAGCGCTGGCCCCCGGCCTCTTGAGTGAGATGGGCGCACAACCCTAGAGTCTGGCAAGACTGGCCCATACGGGCAGAGGTACCTTTACCTTTAATTCACTGCATCCACAACCCCTCAATCAGTTTTTGGACACTGCCTATATTAATGTATTTACCTCTGATTAACTTGGATGCACAAAGGAAGAGGTCTACTCCTTGCTACTCTAAGGATGCATTGGGATGTGAGGATTATTGTGTTAGTTCTCCTGATTATAATGCTAGAGCTTCCCCTCTGGTTTCTAATGTTTCTTATGCACTGCATGACCTGCTGGATTATGGAATCGTGGCTTTTTGGTCGATATATGACTGTTCCCCTGTGATTCACCCATGAAAACGGCAGGAAAGACCCAAATTGTGTCACAAAATGCATTAAAACAGCAGAAAAGTTACAGCGCAAAATGCCCACGATTTTCCAAGTTAATGAAATTGCAGGCAGATTTTTCTTTCCTGGAAGCAATTAACATGGAAATGAGCACTAAATTTCTACTACAGTCCCCTAGATTTCCAGAAGTTTAGGCTGTGCGAAGAATCACAGAAAATGTGGGAATTATCAGGTAATGAGACATCAGGAGGGCGGAATAAAGAGCTGTCTGAATTCAACCTGGGTAGCAAATGACTACATCCTGATTGAATACTTTTCTTTCTTTCTTTCTTTCTTTCTTTCTTTCTTTCTTTCTTTCTTTCTTTCTTTCTTTCTTTCTTTCTTTCTTTTTTTTTCTTTTTTTCTTTTTTTCAATTTTCATGGAGCAGACAACAGGAATCGTACCAAGGGTGAGTTAGCTTGCCCTCACCCCATGCTTGAGTTATGGAGGAAGGCTCTGTCTCATAAAGTGCCATGGTTTCTTACAGAGTATCGTGTACCTAATCATAAAACACTTCAGCAGAGGTGCAGTGTAATATGCGACCTGCTCCTCGCTTAGGCCCAACTATTTTTTAAAAAGCTTTTGACAGTTGTTATAACAGCATTTGTATTCCATTAAGCCCTGTCAAGAGCGATTTCATGACCCAGCACTGCAGCAGGTAGTGGCAACAGCTGTGGAGCAGGGCGAAGAAGCCGCTCTGTGACCAGAGCCCTCACAGGTGCTCAGGAAATGGCAGCAGCGACTCATGTTTACACAGGCAAGAAATCCTCCTTGCTCCAGATGCAACGGCACAGATAAGGGTGTCCTCTCTGAAACCCCAGTTTACCATTATGACCTATGGAAGTGGAGAACAAATCGGGTGATAAGCTGAAGTGGGGCTGAAGGGATTCTTCATACACTAGGATTTTGGGGGGCGGCAGGGCGGGTTAGGTGTACACATAACACTTCTTAAATTGACTTATTGCTGAAAATAAGTGTTGCAGTTTTTTTAAAAAAACAGTAAAATTTCACTTTAAAGAGTGTACCTAAAAGTATAATGCATTACTTAAGGGGAGTAAAATTCACTTGGAAACATGAATCGTACAGACATACTCAAAGCACTGGGTGACGGTGACTCACTTGAAACTTAACCCAGGCAAAAATGGAGCTGGGCTGGTTAGCAGTCATGAGATGGGGAAGCCATGGAATTGCCTGATTTGAACGTCTCCCCCTCATGCTTTGCATGATAAAGAGGATAAAGAGCCATGAAGATCAAGAACCATAAGAAGGGGGAACAAGAGACTTGAAGCTGCCCATCAACTGAGCCGTTCGGTACACAGGTCACCCAGTCATGATATTCCACACAATGCTGAAATGCATTGCATCCCTATTTAAATTGCAGAAATTGTTTAAATTTGCACCTATACCAATGAAACAGCAAATGCAAAATGCCTGCACATCTATGTCCTCTTTTTCGCTGATGCATAAGTAACCACCTTAATGAAAGTTCAGTTTGTCTTGCATGCAGAAGGTCCCAGACATCTTCCTGCCTGAAACCCTGGAGTGCTGCTGCCATTCCGTGTTGGCAATACTGAGCTTGATGAACCAAGGGCCTGACTTGATTTAAGGCAGCTTCCTATGTTCCTAGCAAGCGTTAGCTGCTGAGTGCACATGCCTCCACTATTACAAGACCTCCACCAGTTACTAATTTGTTTCTGGGCGAAATTCAAGGCATATGTCATTTTCTTCAAAGCCCTTTATAGACTTGGTCTGAGGAGGTACCCAAGGGAGCGCTTGCTCACATACGAACCTCTCTCCAAGTATTTGAGGTCCAGTTTATTGCAGACGCCAACTCCATCAGAAATCCGGCAGTCTGTAATGACTAATGGTGCATTTTCCATTGTGGTCCTGAGTCCTGGAACCTGCTGCTATCAGAGAGTCACCAAATTCTAGAGTGTGGCCCCTACAGATGTATTGCTTTTATTTAGGCAAGCGTTGGATCTTGAGCCTTATGGGACTTTACTTGTGATTTATTTTTTCCCTGCCGGTAGAGAAAAACTGCCGACTCAGTTGTTATTAGTCTTTTTTTAAAAAAAGTTCTCCACATTTAAAACTCTTCTGAACTGAAAAGCAGGTAATTGTTTTTCAGATAAATACAAGTGAGTGGATAGAAATGGGACTGTGGCAATGGAACTGATCTCACAACCACCCCCAACCTCATAAGATCCTGAGCAGAGAGAGCATATGGAATAATTGTTGTCAACTACTGCAATGTTACCACAATGTTAAGTCTCCTCTCCCGCACAGGAACAAGGAAGGAGTCAAGTGAAGCTGTTTGATTTCCAGTACTGCGTGAATTACAGAAGCTCCTGCAATGCTCCTGGGGCGAGGCCCCTGACTCAGCCTTTCCTGCTCAGCTCAGGGATCAAGTCAAAGCATAGCCCAGGGGCCAAGAGAACACTGGATCGTCTGTAGCTCTGTGGTGGCTGACAGGAGCAACATGAAAAGGACACACAGTCTCCAACAGCTGTCAAAGGGAAATACTCTTGTTTTACAGAGAGCTCACCACTCCACAGCTTGTGCAGAGAACAAACAGTATGTGCAAGGAGTCTGGGGACTGGCACGCTCCTCTGATGGATGCTGGAAAGTTTCGCTTCAAATATGCATTTCAAACCCCTCCTCAAAACCCACCTTTTCCAAGTAGCCTTTGGCTCATCTCTTTAATTCTCATTCCCAACTGTAAGCAAGCTTTTAAGGATGTGAAACAAAATGTGTTCACGTTCTTAGGAACATAGGAAGCTGCCATGTTCCGAGTTGGACTACTGGTCGAACTATCAGTGCTTCTCAAACTTGGGTCCCCAGCTGTTTTTACACTACAACTCCCATCATCCCTAGCTAGCAGGACGAGTGGTCATGGATGATGGGAGTTGTAGTCCAACAGCACTTGGGGACCCAAGTTTGAGGAACACTGGTAGCTCTACTAGACTGACAGTGAGCAGCTCTTCAGGGTTTCTGGCAGGGAAGATCCCAGTCCTTCCTGAAGATGCCAAAGGTGGAACCTGCCTGCAAAACAGATGTTCCACCACTGAGATTTTAAAAAATGAAATATTTGCATAGAAATTGCATCCACTTTTGCACATGCTCCCCAAAGAAAAGTATTTTTGTTATGCCTTTTGTATGCTTTTCTGTTCACCTGCCTATAAAATATGACCTTTTTGTATGCATTTCTCTAGCGATTTTTGAACCGAAACAGCATCGCAAAATTTGGAAAAGGGCGCAATCCGACTGTTGACAGCATTCTGGTTGACACGTAGGTTCATAGACTGCAAGTTAGGCTAGTTGACTTCAAAATGCATGCTGAACAAAATTCTCTCCCATCTCAATTATTCGGGTAAGTACTGAGGTATCTTGAGAAGATGTGCGGGAGTGGGGGGGTGGAGGAAACACAGTGTTTACTAGTCATTGATGTCCTGTCTAGCTCTATAATGTGCAACATGTGGGGGAGGCCTCCCCTGAGAGTTGTGGGCAGTTGCTGCGAGCAGCTGGATGGAGGCGCCAGGTTCCATCTCCAAGCTGGCTGAAAAGAGTAAAAAGAAAAACAAACCTGCCTTTAAGAGTCCACAGAAAACCTTCCCCCTTCAAGTTATTAAAGGTATTTACCAGCAATTAAGAAGCCAAAGTTGTCGCTGTTACCCTTATCATTATTAGCCTTTCTCTGTCGCCTCATAACACAAGTTCTCACTGCAACATACAACCTGAGTGTTGAGGAGACAAGCTGCAATTTTACGCATGGTTATTGGTGAGTGAGCCCCATTTAACTCAGTGGGAATGAACATGCATGGCACTGTGCTAAATCTTTTCCTCTTCCACTGCTCTTTAATTTCCAATGGTGCATTTTAATGCAAAATGTGTCAGGATGGATCTGATATTTTCTGTTTGGCCGGAATGCTAGACTCCATGGCTATATAAGTTAACACCTATGTTAAATTACAGGGATGAATCTGCAACTTTTAAAATGGGCCAGTTTGCTGTTTTGTGGGCGGAAATGGAGCCAACTGTATCCGCCCTGCTCTTTTTTTATCCCCCCCTTTCTCCCCCCCCTTTCTTTTCATGCTTATCAATCATTACGGAATGTAAAGTGTAATTTAATATGTTTTATTTTCTGTTCTGAAGGCTCACTGCTTTATAGTAAATAAACTACTAGCAGTTCTGGTTTATGTGCAGCTGGAGCAGAGGGAGCGAATAGCAGAAGCGGGAAGGAAAAACCCTGAAGCAGATAGTAGAGGAGAGAGAGAGAGAGAGAGAGAGAGAGAGAGAGAGAGAGAGAGAGAGAGAGAGAGAGAGAGAGAGAGAGAAACCTGTTTTAGAAGTCTGCACCCCCTCCACGGACATAGGCCCCTGCGATGACTCACTCCCTCATGTCTAAATGAGTCTTGCTGCAGGCAATCTCTGACACTTCATCAAGGAAGGTCATTAAGGGGAGAGGTAGCCTTAACTTAAGTTGCACTTGTTTTTCTTCTTATGAAAGGGCTGAACAAAGAAAATTAGCATTTATTCCGTGTTTGTTAACAGCGGGAGCAACTAAGATCCACATTTAAAACCACCAAATTAATAAACCAAGAGCTGTGGCAAATCTAAAGCATTCTCTAAAGCCCACTAGACTGGGTACCATATGATGACTGTGGTCTCCATGTAGCTTCTCCGTGCTGGACCAGAGACATGCATATGGCACAGAAGAGATGCCCAAGGTGCTTATTTTTCTGTTTAGAATTTAAGTGGACCCAGAGGTGGGTCTGGCACACCCACGAAACAAGGTGAGATGACTTCCTCAGGCGGCAGGGTCCACTGGGGCAGCAGATCTCAGTGTTGATCTTTTCCCACTCCCCCTTGTTCCTGATGTAGATCTTCCCTGGCAGGGAGGGAGGCACCATTGGGGGGGGCGGTCTGCCTCATGTGCCAAATGTTTTGGGCCAGCCCTGCCTGGAGGACTTAGCCTCACTTTCCCCTCACCCCCTATCAACACCGTGAAGCTGAGACAGTTGGGTGTCTGCAAATTATTGTGTGCAGCACTTCTGTACTTTTTTTTGGGGGGGGGTGCTTTTCCACTCTGCCAGGAAACAAAGAAACTATTGAGTGTTCATGCACCAAGCAGGGGTCCTGGAAGATATGAATCAGGGTCTTGTGGCTAACACCCACAAGCCCCAGGCTGACATGAGAAAGTCCACCCTCTCCTGCAAGAGACGGAAAGGCATCTCTGATAACCTGCATTTAATATAGTTCCTGGTGAGAGTTAAATTATTTTCAACTTCTCACGGTCTACTGGTTTTCTATCTGGAACCTGAATTTTGTTCTCCAGTCGTTTTGCTAATGCTACTTTTGAATCTTTAGATCAAATTCCCATGAAGTCCATTCAAATTCTCTGCTTGTAGCCCTAATCTCAGCCAGGCATGTCTCGGAGCGGAATGTGCTTTCCATGTCTAAGAATCTCAGTGAGTTTCATAAGGGCAAGGCTAGACTTCATCCCCAGACTCATCATTAACCTTGAAGGTGGATCCAGTCTTTCATGGATTGCAAGACACTCCTTGTCTTCTTTTTCCCCAGAGCCTAAACACCTCCAGGAACAGATTGGGTGCACATGCAAAATCACGAGGGCCCCTGAGTATGATATTCACAGTACCAATCCATTTCAGCATGTAAACTATATTTTTGTCTCCTTCTGCTAGTGTTCTCTAGAGAAGGAAACTCCTAACTCTCAACCCTGGTGAAGTGGCTCACTGCAGCCATCACTAACATTGTGAGTTGTTGGGAGTGCATGGGAAAATGGCTGTGCCTCAGTGGTAGCAGAGCCCATGCTTTGAATGCAAAAAACCCCTAGGTTCAAAACTTATAGACTCATAGAAATGTAGAGGTGGAAAGGACCACAAGGGACATCTAGTTCAACCACCTGCAACGCATGGCTTTTCCTTATAGGGCTGGGAGAGACCCCTGCCTGAAACCCTGGACAGCCACTGTCAATCAACGTAGACAAGCTTGGTTGACCAATGGCCTGACTACGAGGTAGTTTCTCATATTCCTATTTCTTCCCACGCTCTGTGGGGAGCCGCCAAGTATTCATACTTTCATTAGGCATGGTCAGGTGGGGTCCCAGGTGTTTTTGGATGCTGTCTTTGGCAGGAAGAAGCTGCAACCCATATAATAACCCATGATATAGTATATGTTCCTTGGGAACCTGCTCGCGGACACCTGCCTCCTTTGGAATGTTCCAGTCATTTCAGGATTTCCTCCTACTCTTGTTGTTTTGTTCTTACCTGAAAGCCTCTGTTTGAGTCAGGAATGGGAGTACATCCTGACACGCCCTTCCATATTCACGGAGCTTAGATTTTCACCTCGGGGCTGGTTTTCTTTGGTGTTAGTTGAGCCTTGTAGAGCCACTTTAACATAAGCTTTTCCTCCTGTTCTTCTGTTTGGCTTGGCCCACTATCGATGAATTAGTCATTTCTCCTTCTTGCTCTGCTTGTTTGTGAAATGACCTTGGGTGCCTTTGAGTTTTCTACTCAGATTCTTCTTCTTGCTTGTCATGACTGGCAGAAGGAAGAAGACTCTCTCTTGGGAGGAAGTGGTCATCCTGCTGCTGCCTTCTTTCCCCAACAATGGGATTTCCCAGTCATTTTAGGATGTAAAGGGGGGGGGGCGAGCTCACATTGCTGTGAGTATGACTTCATTGGGCCTGCTTTTTTCCTCCTAGTGTGTTCACAAAGCTTCCCCACCTCCACTCAGTCAATACCTGGCTCTCTCTCTGACATTTGAGGGAAGAATTATGAGAAGTTTTTCAGAGGATGTATCTGGACAGCTGGACTCCGAGTAGCAATTCAAGAAAGGATGCTCCCACCAATCTTGCAGGTCAGATGCTACAGGTTTGGGTCTAGTAAAGACCCATACAACTCTGATAATGGGGGAAGTAGGAGTAGAAATAGTTGAAAGTATTGTGCACAAGATGTGATGGAAGGAAGGAAGGAAGGAAGGAAGGAAGGAAGGAAGGAAGGAAGGAAGGAAGGAAGGAAGGAAGGAAGGAGTCAATCTTAAAATCTTAAAATCAAGAGATTCTTTTTTTTGTTAGTTTTTGTTTTTGTTAGGGTTTTTTTTGTTAGAAACAAAAAAAAAAAAATCAAGAGATTCTGCCAGTGTGGTTTTTCTGCTTAGCTGCAGAATCCTATCTATGTCTATTCAGAAGTAAGACCTACTGAGTTCAATGGAACCTGCTCTGTAGTACATGTGTATAGGATTGCATTTTTTTGGAAGATCACCCAGACTTGCTGAGCTTTTTTTGGGAGATTGCCCAAGCCTGGCACCCGGGAGGGACAGTGACTCTGGTGCCCTACAACCCCGGTGACGCCTGGTGTGCCTTCTGCGCCTCTGCCTTCCTACACTACTGACTCCTTCTGAACACCATTGACAAAGCATCCAACAGAGACACAGTCATAGAGAACAGACCTCACAACAGACCCATTTGCCATATCTAAACAGGCAACACTATTAAAGTACCTAATAATGTTAGCCACAGTGTAAAAGGATCGTTCATGCTCATCTTTTTAATGTTTAATTTATTTACGGTAATTTGTATACCTCCTTTATCTTTATCTTGCCTTTATGCATTCTGCACAGGACAAACAGTTCACTCTCCATGCAAGACAATAATGGACACAAATCTGACATCAGAAACCACTGGGAGAACCGTTCACACTCCCAGGACACTCTGCTCCTGAGCTGAAAATGGTCATTCTCAAACAAAGGAACTTCAAAAGGAGATTCCAATGAGAAACAGCTTCATTACAACTTACCGTATTTTTTGCACCACAACACTCACTTTTTTTCCTCCTAGAAGGTAAGGGGAAATGTCTGTGCGTGTTATGGAGGGAATGCCTATGGGTGGCATGCCTACGGATTTTCCTCCTCTAAAAACTACGTGCGTGTTATGGTTGGGTGCATGTTATAGAGTGAAAAATACGGTACTAAAAATAAATAAATTCAATTCTGCCACCTCTGGCTTGAATCAGGATAAGGGATTTCTATCCCACGGCAGATGTTAATTAACTTAGCACTGCTGGAGTGTCTAGTCATCAACTGCAGTTGTTATGCTTGGCTACTGTGCTAACTTTGCATACTTAAGCTGAAAATTAATTGTCAGATTGTATTTTTTGTGTTTCAATTTCATCTAACCTCACTGTTTACATTTCCTCTCTACATACACACACACACACACACACCTGTCAACTGAGGACAACATTTTAGCCATATGATGAAGTGCATTCTGGTTCATGATAGCTTAGGCTGTATTAAATTTGTTAAGTTTGAAGGTACCACAGGACACTCAGTTGTTGTTTTTTCTTCTGAACACATTGTCTCCCCCACACCCCATAAAATCACCAGCACAAATGAGTACTTGTGAGCTTTCTGCTGCAGGTTCCTCTTATCCTCTTGACCTTTTCTCCTGCATGTAGTCATGGAAGTTTGTGCTCATAAAAAAAAAGTTACAAAATTGAGGGCATGGCAGTGGGGAGGAGGAAGAACATTTCTGTAGTTCGTTTTTAGCGGATCAAGAAAGAAGGGATTGCCACTTGAATTGAGCAGTGCATATGTGCCTCGGCACAGCTCTGAGCAGCAAATTATGTACATTGGTTTAATAGGGACTATATTATAGTTCAGCACCATGTAATAGGGGGACTTTGCTTCTCAGGAAGTATTACACATTTTTCAACTAGAGGAAACTTCTCCTATCTCTGACCTCAGTGTCTAATCTTAGGATACCTTTGATCATTACCTCATGAAAGTAAAACCTGTTTTGCACATGAGGCCATTGTGCAATCAGTCCATACACCTCTTAACACCAGTGTGTCCAACTTTTGCTGGCACAGGAGCCAACTCCTAGGGGCCGTGGGGGCTTCGGACCCCACAATAAAATATTTGAGGGGGCCGGGGCCCCCAAAGTTGATGGGCATTCCCATCCAAAGGATGTGTGTGCACTGCATCATGTGATCAGTTATGTGAGGCGGGGCTTACCTGGGCCCCCACAATATTTTATATAAGTTGGCACCCCTGTTTGTTGGTGCGATGCCTCTGTCACCATTTCTATAATGTCAAGAGCATGTCTTTTGCTGCTATTAAGATATTAAATTTTGCTTATCCACCAGCAGGGTGTCCCACCCCCCCACCCCACCCCAGATATCGTTTTTTATAATTTGGCATAGTAAATTTCACAATTCATACTACATCTCTCTAATATTACATGTTAGACTGGCATAGTTCTAATCTATTCTGCCATTTTTATTATGTAAGAGTTTGCTGAGCCAGCGGGAATAGCAAGCTGCAGGTTCAAATCCCCCCCTTAGCTACAAAGCTTACCTTATGTCAATCGCTCTCTCTTAGCCTAACCTACCTCAACAGGGTTGTTGTGAGGATAAACTGGCGAAGGGGAATATGAACAGCCTTGAGTGACTTGGAGGAAAATGCAATACAGTGGTACCTCTGGTTGCGAAACGGGATCCGTTCCAGAGCCCCGTTCGCAACATGAGCAGAACGGAACCCGCACCCGTGGGTCGCAATTCGCTGCTTCTGCGCATGCGCATGACGTCATTTTGAGTGTCTGCGCATGCGTGAGCAGCAAAACCCAGAAGTAACCCTTTCCGGTACTTCTGGGTCGCCGCGGGACACAACCTGAAAACGCTCAACATGAAGCAAACGCAACACGAGGTATGACTGTAATAATAATGGAAAGAGGAGGAAAATGAAACAATGTGCAGGCAGCAGAGAAATAAAGAAGGAAACAAGAAATCTCTCCTCCCCCAAGTTATGTGCCTCTCCCCACTGCCCGCTCCGCTGAGACAGGCTCCTGTATTGATGACTCACTCCCTCATGTCTGAATGAGTCTCGCTGCAGGCAATCCCAGGCACTTCATCAAGGAAGGTCATTAGGGGAGAGGTAGCCTTATGCTGCGAAAGCTTTTGTTCTCATTAAAGGGCTAAATTTAAACAAGAGGTTTAAAATTTATTCTGTGTTTGTTAACAGAAGGAGCAAGCCTGGCTAAGGTCCACATTTCAAACTACTAAGTTAATAAACCAACTCTTACCAGTTCTAAAATATGGACATCTTACTGTTGGCCTGCAGCACTCCAACAGTATTCTCCCTCAACCCAATCCAGCAAGGCTGATCTGCAGGCATGTGGCTCTCCTGCTAGAATGGGTACCACTGATGCAGCTCTTGGGGGCTGCTGCACAGGTACCCACGAGCAGTGCTGTTTTTCTTGGAAAAGAGGTTCCGGAACTCACCATGAAAGGTGCTGGAACTGAGTTCTGGTGAGTTCTAGCCCAAAAAGAAGCCCTGCCCATGTGGCTACCCTTTGCTGAATGAGACAGCAGGTTGCACCCACCCTATGCATTTAAAGCACTCTTATACCGCAGTCATGGCTTCCCCTAAAGAACCTTGTGAACTGTAGTTTTAAGTGCTCAGGGTTCTTAGGAGACTCCTCACAGGGCTACTATTCTCAGCACCCTTAACAAACTACAGTGGTGCCCCGCAAGACGAAATTAATTCGTTCCGCAAGTTTTGCCGTCTAGCGAATTTTTCGTCTTGCGAATTATTATTTAGACAAAGGAAACAAAGTCGCGAGACGTTTTCGTCTTGCGAAGCAAGCCCATAGGGAAATTCGTCTTGCGAGGCAACTCGCAAACGGAAAAACCTTTCGTCTAGCGAGTTTTTTGTCTTGCGAGGCATTCGTCTTGCGAGGTACCACTGTATACTTCCCAAGCATCTTTGGGGGAAGAACAAGATGGTGTGGATATGACCAGGACAAAAGATATGGCCAATGGTCCCAGTTTTAACAATGGGAGGGGAGTTCTGAGGCCAAGGAGCTACAACTACACTATTAACAGTCTTTCAATTCTACATGATCAATTCTAAGTGGGCAAGTGTCTCCAAATCAGTAGATCATGGGTAGGCAAACTAAGGCCCAGGGGCCGGATCTGGCCCAATCGCCTTCTAAATCCGGCCCGCAAACGGTCTGGGAATCAGCGTATTTTTACATGAGGAAATGTGTGTCCTTTTGTTTAAAATGCATCTCTGGGTTATTTGTGGGGCCTGCCTGGTGTTTTTACATGAGTAGAATGTGTGCTTTTATTTAAAATGCATCTCTGGGTTATTTGTGGGGCATAGGAATTCGTTCATTCCCAGCCCCCATATATAGTCTGGCCCCCCACAAGGTCTGAGGGACAGTGGACCGGCCCCCTGCTGAAAATGTTGGCTGACCCCTGCAGTAGATTGTATCCAACTAACTTATACTCAGAGGAGACTCATTGAAATTAATGGAACCGCATTTAGTCATGTGCATTAACTTCAGTGGGTCTGCTGTAGACAGGCCCCTTGAGGGCAGAGCTTTTGAACTTTTTTTTTTTTTTTACATTTCCACAGTGCCAGGATGCAAATAAATCTATAACAACATCTGACAGCTTGGCAAGTCTGTCGGTCTGTTCTGCCCTCCTTCTACCATGTTGCTGATATGGGCGGGAAATGTATCATCAGCTTGGTGAGAGGAAGGAAACAGACTGCATTGGTGGAACGAGCAATCTTTCTCCTCAGAGTGGAAGAGAGTCCGCCTGATTCCCACTCACCCCTGGAACTGCTGAGGGAAAAATTGTTTCCCCCCTGCCTTGAGGTGAGGGGAAGTGTTGCTTTTATGTCAGTGATCTCCATTACATCAATCCCTACTCACATTTCGGATCTATTTGCAGGAGTAGAAACCAAAAAATCCCCACCTCACGCAGTCTCAAGGAGCAAAGACTGCCATATTTAAATGGCATAGAAAGATTGAGGTCAATAATGAATTTGATCCATCAGCCGCCACAGCTGCTTCACACCCATTCATTTGGAGGACATTCCACTTAGTAAACCTGCATTGCTTATCACTTCTGCTTCTGCTTAACATTACCTTTTAATTAAAAAGATATGACTAAACAGGTCAGGAATAAGTTTGCCTTTCCATCAGCAAGGCTGAGGTCGTGGGCCCGCTTTTAAAAACCTATCTGCACGTAAACAAATAGGAGCAAAACAAGACAAAGTTTCATTTTCACCTCAAAAACAAAAGAAAACCACTCCCGTTTTCTGCTCGGTAACTCCCAAGAGTGCTCATATAAACAGCTGTGAGCTAAACAGCAGCTCGTATATGACCTGTGTCACATTTCTGTCTGCCCCATTGTGTCTACGTCCGAGTGCCTCAGACCTCATTGTGTTTGATTTCCCCCTCAACGGTTTCACTTCTTTTCTGGAAAATCACTGGAGAAGTGTGAAAATAAACCGATATGTAAAAATAGATCCCCAATTCAACATTATTGTATGAGACAGGGAAGAAAATCTTCCTGCAGTTATTAGAATAGGATATTAAAAATATACATAGTCCCTTTGCTTTTTATGGTGACTTTCTTAACCATTGTTTTTATAAGGCTCTGCAGGACCCAATGTGGCTAAGATTAGGTTATCGGAGATGTTCATGTAGATTTAATTACGCCCCCTTTCCCTTCATAATTTGACACAATAAAAAAGGGGGCTATGCCGAAGCCCGACTAGCTGATCACACTTATTTAGGGTGTTTGGAGTGCTTCAGATACATTATCTCAGAAATTTTTACAACCTTATAAGGTAGGCTGGTATTATCATCCCTGTGTTGAGGATGGAGTGCGGATTGCCTCAGGCCATGCAAAGACTTCATGTTTATAAAATAAGATTTCTTACCCATGCTTTACCCTAAGGTCCCATGGTGGGAGGCAACAACAATATAATCATACAATTATAAAGATAAATTCATGCCT